CAAAAACAATAAAATCTGTTAAAAATTCAATTAAAATCTTGAAAATATCGAAAGTTGCTGTTATATTAGGGTCTATACGACGACATGGACCTGTATGCCGCTAAAATCATCAAAATATCGTATATCGGGAGGTACCGTTGTATGGGGGTTATAAGAAGACGTGGACCTACACAGACAATCTCCTGCTATAGGCTGTAGTATCCATTACGAACATCAAATACCGATTTTGAAAACCGTCTGTGGAAATTACTCTAGCTTCCGAGCGAAATGAAGTAAGTTGATAAAAACTTACTCAAATGTGTATTATGTCTGCAGGACTTTTGGTATTGAAAATGGGCCATGTAGGTCCACGTCTTCGTATAGCCCCTATATGCCGTATTTTGATGATTTTAGCGACATTATTTACCGAAATAGGTTCAAAATTGGTATTTGAAGTTTATAATGGATACTACAGTCTAAGACAGAAAATGAGCCGTGGACCTAGTCTTCGTATAGCCTCCATATAACGGTACAACCCGATATTCGGTATTTTAATGATTTAAGCGACATTATTTACCGGAATTGTTTCAAATTTGGTATTTAAAAATCGTAATGGATACTACAGCCTAACACAGAAAATGAGCCATGTAGGTCGACGCCTTCGTATAGCCTCCATATAACGGTACACCCCGATATTCGGTATTTTGATGATTTAAGCGACATTATTTACCGGAATTATTTTAAATTTTGTATTTGAAGTTCGTAATGGATACTACAGCTTATGCCAGAAAATTGTCTGTGCAGGTCCACGTTTTATAACCCCTATGGTACCTCCCTATATTCGATATTTTGATGATTTTTGCTACATTATAAAAATTTTTTTTTTTTTTTGAAGTTTCGCATTTGGATATTGTAATAGCTTATAACAAAAGTTGCCTATGCAGGTCCACGTCGTCGTATAGACCCTAATATACGGCTACATTCGGTATTTTTTAGATTTTGACGGAATTTTTAACGGACGACGACGAACTTTTTTGATTGTTATATCAAAATTTTGATTTTTTTTATGTTACCGATTTTTGTCGGTAACTCCAAAAATGAGTTAAAGAATCCTACTATAGATTTCAAAATAACTTCACAGCATTATAGCCCATTTTTATGGGCAACCGTATTTTTAAACTGCAATGCATGTATCATGGATTGAATAACAAATTTGCGCTGTTTATAATTTTTAAATTCAGTCAAATGTTATATTTTTCAATTAATAATTGAATAACAAATTTGCACTATTTATAATTTTTAAATTCAGTCAAAAGTTTTATTTTTCAATTACAAAATGCACATTTTTTGTATTATTGAAATTAGTTTTCTTCACACTTCAAAATTAAATTGTTCAATAGTCAACTTTCAAGTTTATTGTGCAGAAATGGTTAATACAAGCCCAAATTGAATGAATTCTGAAACATACGAACAAATTCATCCTGGAAGTAAGTGTTTCAAATTTGGTGAAAAACGGTTAAGATATTATATCTCATATATGTGTTTCATCGTCATTCATCATTTGGCATTTATATCCCTCACATCCGCAAAATACTCTCCACAATAATGATATATAATAGCATCTATCAGAATTCAACATATTTTCATAATAAAGCTTGCCTTTCTTCAATACCAAAAGTGTTGCAGATCTAACAGAAATGAGTAAACATTTATCAACCTACTTTATTTCGTTTGGAATCTAGAGTGATTTCCATAGACGGACAGTCATACAGACGTACATGGTTAAATCAACATAGAATTTAAGATCAGGAATATATATCCTTTGTTGGGTCTAAAATTTATATTTCGAGGTATTATAAACAGAATGGCAAACTTCCATACTATGGTGGAGGGTATAAGGATCATATAAATAATTTCCTAACATTACGAACTTCAAATGCCAAATTTTAAGTAATTGTATTCGACAATGTAAAAACGATATACATTTATATTCCAGAGAAAGTGAAACATATTGTGAACTCTAAGTACCAACTATGAGAAAATTTCGTTGAAAAATGTGTCTAAAATCATGAAATTAAAATATAGGGGGTACCATTCTGCGCCCAAATACAAACTTTGAGATAACTTATAAATACCGAATATCGGGGGCCAAAGTTATGTGGGGCTACAAGAAAAGGGCATTGACAATTATTAGACAGAGTAAATAAAACATATTGGGATCTCCGAAAAAATATTTTCAGAAAATACAGTTGAAACGTGTGTCTTACATAATCCAAATACCGAATCTCGGCAAATAGTATTGGGGCTACACAAAACTGTAGCCTTGCGCAATTATCTAACGGAGATGTAAGACCTATAGTGAACTCCACATATAAATTTAAAAAATCTGTATAATAATATGGCTATAAGAAAAAATTGGGTCTATATAACAATTTGGATATGTTAGGACATTTTCTGTTCGCTGCAACACAAACACAATTCGGTTCAAATATATAACTATAACCCTAAATTACCTTAAATCGGGTGGTTATATGGGGTTAAAGTCCTAATATTCTGCCGACCCAAAAAAAGTGAGTAAAATAGCATGTTGGAGTGTATAAAATCTTATATTAAAATTTCTCGTTAATGTTCATTGGTGATATTATTCGCTGTCACATAATTTTCGTAGGATTGCAAGTTCGGTAGCAAAATAACATCCATGCCAATTTGTATACGAATGTTAAGTTTAATTTAAAAATTCAGAATATTTTTATTGACTCATCTTTTAGTAGATTTTTTTCATGGCACCATTCCTCCGTACATACACCCATACAAGTGTATAGTTCCGTTCGTATGCATTTTAATCATAAATGATATACGATGAGGAACAGTTTCATATTTTCCCAAGTTTTTATTTGCATTTTCAGCAATAATCTCATTTTCCACATGAATATTTTTAATTTTGCTTAATGTAAGTACGTGTGTGTGTATGTTTGGCTTATTCATTGGTTTGTGTGTATGTATGAGTATTTTATTATAATTATATTTATGCAAATTTTTTCCAAGGCAGTAGCAAATTGCAGCTACCATAACTGGCAAAGGAAACGAGCTAGTACGGATCCCAAGACAAGGATACATTTCCAATTTCTATGAGCTTAAAGGCACAAATCCAATATAATACATATTCGCATGGTATCCTGGTTATGTTAGCATTCGTTGGCAACCAGAGGAAGCACCACTGGCCCATTATGGGAATATGTACAGAGCTGTTATGCTGTATCTCTCCTCCCTGGCATTTTGTTGGTGGCATAAGCGTATATATCTCGCATGCCTGGCAACAGGCACGGAATAACGAGATATGCGCTGTAGCAGCCGTCGGTCGAAATATAATTTTCTTTTTTAATATTCTCGCAATTCCATTAAAATTATTTATTATCTCACATATTGGATGTGCTTTCCTTCCATCGTTATGGCGTTTTCCGTTATTGCTTTCCTAGTTCTGGCGTTGTCTGACATTTCTTGCTGTTCATAAACGCATACTGTTTTGGTGTTCGGAAAACTCCATGTATTCAAATGCACATGTTTTGTATGTGTGTTGTACGAGTGGAAGCTGCTCGTATGCAAAGATATTTGCCAATAAACTTCTTGTGCTATATCATTGTAAATATAAGACTTTTATTAAATCAAAATTATGACAAAACTTTTTTGGAATGAAATCTGTTACTTCTAGGAAAACCTTTTAAGAAAATTATAGATAAATAAAGGAAGTTAGCAAAGGCTAATACCCAACATATGATTTTTACTAAAGTTCCTACAGATGTGATATTATTGGAATAGAATTAATATACTTAAAATATACTGGGTTCATTATTTTAACAGCATATGTTGTGATTGTTGTTTAAGTCCATCTCTAAAAAGCTCCGGTCTTTTTCGAGAAGGCACTTCACCGCAATTTCACATTCAAACTTTTTTACAAGCATAAAGAAAATTCCATGTGCCTCATGTTTATGCATGTTTCGGCCCCCGTAATTTGTTATATTATGTCATGTAAACTTTGCAAACCGAGATTACTTTTATTTTGACGCAGCCTCGAGGTTGCAATTTTCTGGTGGCTGCCAGTTGACACATTGAACCTCGCATCTTCAATGGAACATACAAAAAAAAAAACCGTAAACTGAATGAAAGGTCGAAATTAATTTTCAAAAATATATCTCTTGAGATTTATTTCGCCATAATACATACATGGTGAGATAAAAAACTGCAACAAAGTCAAACTCCATAATTTTATTTTTTTTTAATTTTACTATGCCAAATGGTATATTGTGATATAGTCAGCTCACGAGGCGGGTTTCGATCAAGTAGCTTCTTTTCTTTTCGAACCATTTCTGCTGATGTTGAGATTTGCTATGCTCAGTGTCGAATTGATGTGGATGGAGTTTGAGCGACATCGTCACGTATAGCTGCGATATTTTCGGTTGATCGAACTGGTCAAATGCGCGTTAATTAGAGATTAATTCCTTTACAGTTGACTCTTTTGGAACATTATTGTGTCTCTAAATTGTTCGCAATTTGCAAACTATAGCCGCAACACTTTAACCATTTTGGTAAAACACTTTCATAATGAGAATGCGTTGTTCATTCGAGTAGCGCTCCATTTTTACTAACCTCTAATAGCAAAAAATTAGAAATGTTCAAATATCAAACAATGACACTTCGAATGGCGTCAAATTTAAAAATTGCGTTCTGGCTATGACACCCTTTACTTCCATAGCAGAAAAGTTTCTATGTGGGTGAACGTTTTTCTGTAGACCCCATCCATCTGATATTTGGTACTTTGATGATTTGAGCCACATTTTTTATATAATGGTTTGATTTTTTTTTTTTTTTTTTTTGATCACAAATCAATCTAGCATGTATATCTAAATTTTAATTCTTTGGATCGTGCTATTTGGACCCAAAATTACAGTAAAACTTTTTACGTTCTAACTAAAAAAACCTTACATTTGTCATACAAATTAAAAATTAATTTTACTTTGTATTGATTGTCTAGAAATTAAAAAAAAAAAAAACTCATACAAACATTTTTTCCATATACATAGTCTTCCCCGACGGATTTCTTACTTCTTAGAATTGCTGTTTTCTTTAAAATGGCAGCTTCGACAAATCGCATGGTTCGTTTACAGGGTGGCAATTGGGAGGAAACGGTATGTTGCAGCAATAACCCACCCTTCCTATTCTCATCTGTTCTTTTTTAGCATTTTCGTTTGCTTGTGTGCGTTTTTGTCGATTTACGTGTGAATATGTGTGCGTTCCTAACGAAGTCACGGCTGTGTGTTTTAATATCAAACCAGAACAAGAAGGGCAAGTCAAGCCAAAAGAAGGACCTTTTTTTATTTGTGTTGTTTCCCATCGTGCGTTCGGTGCCTGCAAAGGATAAAAACGAATGTATGTATTTGTGTGCGTTTGAACATTTTTTTGTTTTTGTCGAATTCTTTGTAACCATTGTTGTTGTTGGCTTTTTGCTTTGACTTGAAATTCCATTCGTATAGTTTACTTAGGTTCATTTTCTTTCCTTCTTCGTGGTATCTTGGGAAACAACTACAACAACAGCAGCAGCAGAAACCCATTTGCCACTTCCTGCGGCCATTGTTGCCATTGTGTGCGCTCGTAAAAAAGATTTATTGACGAGACGCGCGTTGTTCTTGGGGCACACGTATCGCATTTCAACCATCTTGCTAATGCCGTTTACAAGTGTATGTGCGTGTGTGTTTCTTCTCGGAGAATGGTTGTACTTTTTAAGATGTTCCAACTGGAACCTTAATGTTCTTTCTTATTGAGAATATATATGTTTGTGTGTGTATGTATCGGAAAGACTAACATTTATACCAGCGTAAGAAAAAAAATATTCTGGTATCAGTTCCGAGCGGACGGAAATGATATTGGGGGAAATGCTGCACAATGGGTGAAAAAATTACGTTATAATTTTTTCATATAAACAGCATTCCACCATTCTATATATTAAATTTTTAATTCCGATTGTAACTCTTTTCAGTACTCATGTTAGGCACCACAAAGTATGTATGTATATTCTGGATCAGCGAAAAATTCTATGTCGATTTATCGATGTCCGTCTCTCTGTCTGTCTGTTGTAATCACACTATCTTTCGAATATTAAAATTTTGCAAAAATTTTGAATATTAAAATTCACACTATCTTTCGAACCAATTGAGATAGAATATTAAAATTTTGCACATGTGTGCATTTTGCCACTAGTCATGTCGGTTTCCGTTGTCGTAAAGCCCATATATAACGGTACCTTCCAAAATTCGGTTTTTTGACGATTTTAGTGATATTGTTTACCGCAATTGTTTCAAATTACGTATTTAAAGTTCGTAATGGGTATAACAACACATGACACATGACATTTTTCTGTGCAGGTCCACGTATTCTTATAGTACCTCCCTTTATTCGGCTTTTTGATGATTTCAGCGGCATTATTAACCAGAATAATTTCAAACTTCGTACTTAAAGGTCTTAATGGTTATTACAGCCTATGACAGAAAATTATCTATGCAGGTCCCCATCTTCGAATAGCTACCATATAATGGTTTTAGTTTTAAGCGTTATTTTTCGACGGATTTTTTTTTAAGATTTTCAAGTTCCTTCCAAATGGTGAAACTTATCTGTTTTTTACTTGTTTTACATTCTACTTCGCAATGTATCAAAATGTCATGCAGAGATGCTAAAAACTTTTTCAAAAACATTTGTATAAGAATGGATTACATCGTACAAATATAATCTCTTTTTAATGCAAGCGACAATTTTTAAATAACATTATTTTTATTTGTTTGTCATTTTGTTTGTAACACCTCGAAATATACATTTTAGGCCCCATAAAGTATATACTTGATCAGCATAAAATTCTATGTCGATTTAGCGATGTCCGTCTATCTGTCCGTCTGTGGAAATCACTCTAGCTTCCGAACGAATTGAAGTAGATTGATAAAATTTTACTGAAATGTATATTATGTCTGCAGGACTTTTGGTACTAAAAATGGGCCATGTATGTCCACGTTTTGGTATAGACCTATATAACGGTACCTCCAGATATTCGGTATTTTGATGATTTTTGCGACAATATTCACCGGAATTCTTTCAAATTTGGTATTTGAAGTTTAAAATGAATACTACAGCCTATGGCATAAAATTATCTGTGCAGGTCCACGTCTTCGTATAGCCCCCCGATATTCCGTATTTTGATGATTTTAGCGATATTATTCACCAGAATTGTTTCAAATTTGGTATTTGCAGTTCGTAATGGATACTGCAGCCCATGACAGACATTTGTCTGTGCTGCTCCATATCTTCGTATAGCCCCCTTCGTATTTTTGATGATTTTAGCGACATTACTCACCGGAATTGTTTCAAATTTGTTATTTGAAGTTTGTAATGGATACAGTCTATGACAAAAAAATTGTCTGTGCAGGTCCACGTCCACATAAAGGTATCTCCCGATATTCGGTATTTTGATGATTTTAGCTACATTATTCACCGATTTTTTTAAGTTTCGGATGTGAATATTGAAATGGCTTATGACAAATGTTACCTATGCAGGTCCATATCGTCGTATAGACCCTAATATATTTTTTAAGATTTTAACATTATTTTTAACGGATTTTACTTTTTTTTAAAATTGCCAAATTCGTTCCAAATGGTGGAGGATACAGCTTTTTTACTTGTTTTTATCCAAAATCTACGTTTTTGGTCCGAGTTTTTTTATAGAAAGTAATATTAATAATGTCAAACACATTTGCCAGCAGTTTAATAGATTTTATTCGCTTTTTGATCTTCCAATTATATACCCAGCGAATTTCTCCCACTGTGCTGTGCGTAGAAATTAACTCTGGAGTGAGTATTTGTTGTTTGTGTATACAAATAACAAAAAAAGCAAAATGCCTTGGTGATGTACGAAATTGCCTTTTTGGGGATTCTTGTTGTGTTTTCAATCTTCTTTCGTTTTTTCTCATTTTTCCATTATACTGTTCATTTTCACATTACACATTCTTGCAGTATAACATTCTTAGTGTATTCTTGATCATAATTTTTCACATCCCCTCACCCAGGCGTAGGAAAAGTTCAAATTTCTACATCGATAAGGGAAATGGGTGAACGGGTCTTAGGTAGACAGAAAAGTGCTTGCTGGCAGCACATTCCTTACATCTGGGCATTTTCGTTCGTTGGTTGGTTTTGTTTATTCTGTCAGCTTCTTTTAATGTGAGGTGGCAAAATGAGAGGATGGGCCTGGTCCTCGGCAGACAATCTTGCCATCTTAGAAGATATGAGTACCATAAAAGAAGTCTTTTTCTTCAGCTGTTACGGTGTGTAACAATCGTTTACTTCGTGCTAATGTTTGTTATATTTTATTTTTTAATCTTTAAAAAAAAATATTACGATACTTGCACAACAGGCTGGTTGCGTTGGAAGAAAATGCCCATAATAAGCACGCACAATGTCTTTAATGGGGGTGGTGCATCCTTCTGCTTTTTCCATTAAAATCAAAATCAACAAATTGTAACAGCAATTTCTTGAATTTAAATGACATTTACAGCATAGAATGTAAACACTTAAGGCCTATCATAAATATTTGGTACATCATTTAGTATTCTTGCATACAAACGTTATACTAAATTATGCTATGCGGGAGAAAAATGTTTAATTATTTAACACATCCGGTTGATTCATACATTAAGTCAGCGCTAGAAAGCTGATATGTTACTCTTTATTGCTAGATTTTAAGAACAGAAATTTCATATGTATACATTCCACTAAAATCTGATATTATGAAAGTTCTGTTGGTTACTAACTTAAATAACACTGTGCAACACAAAAAAACTAGTAGATGAAAGTAGAATGTATGTCTAATGACATTTTGAAAAGCTACGACAGGATCGTAGCTAGTCAAAATATTCTACAAAATTATTTGTCGTAAAATTCTACTGTTACTCCTAGAAGACGTCAGAAGACGGAACAAAATATATATAGGTGCAACAGTTTTTAAAACATTGCATTTTTACTGTTAATTTAACACGTTTCCAATCAAAGTCAAAATCCTCTTTTATACTTAACACTGTGGGTTTCTGACAAAATTAATTTGTATACTTAATATGTACCATGAAGAATATCATTAATTTTTTATGGTGTAGGGTATAAATATCAGAGGTCCAGTTGTTTTCCATTGCTCAATAACAATGGAACCTCAAATTTATTTTTTAGCACATCGCTTTAGGCTATGTTTCCTTCAAAAATTGTATGTTTCAGTTCTCTTCGATTGTTAGATAATAATGATACCGTATATAGTACCGTCGTGCATTTGTCATAGTTTAGTAAAACTTTCCACAAACTCTTTTATACACATTTTTTCACATACAACTATGTAGGGCCCTTTTTTTGGTATTCACTTAATGCAAATATACCAAAAATATTTGTCCGACAATGACTTTTTCACTGTAAACTAATTATATACTGAACGTACTAAATTTTAAACATACTAAAATTTATAGTTATAACTCCAATAGTTTCTCCACTTTTCGCAATTTTCGTACAAATTTAACTGTTATGCAAATACTTTATACTCGCAAGCGCCTGCTACTTCGTCACCGGAAAGTCCACTTTAAATTTTTGATTCGTTCCAGCAGCACGTGTTAGGCGTTTTTATAGCCTTCATCTTGAAGAGGAGGGTACATTATGTTTGCCATTCCGTTTGTAACATCCCTAAAAATTCGTTGTAGACCCCATAAAGTATATATATTCATAATCAGCATAACATCCTAGGTCGATTTAACAATGCCCGTCTGTCTGTCTGTTGAAATCACGATACAGGCCACATTATTTGACGTAGAGCTTCAAAATTTGGCAGAACAATTTGAATTTTGTCTATTCAGTATTTTGATGATTTTCGCCAAATTTTTTCACGGATTTGTCCAAAAATTCGTATTTGTATTGTACGTGTTCTAGCTTCGATGCCGAAACATTGTATGCATAGTTCCACGTTCTTCTATAGCTCTCATATGGCGGTTCCTCCCGATAGTCCGGGTTTTGATGATTTTTGCCACATTTTCCACGGATGTTTCCAACAATTTTTATTTGTAGTTCGTAGTGGGTTCTACCTCAGTTGCAGAATATAGTATTTATAGGCCCACGTTATTTAGTATTTTGTTGTTTTTTGCCACATTTTTCTACGGATTTGTCTAAAAATTGGTATTTGTAGTTCGAAATGGGTTCTAGGTCCGGCGGCAGAACATTAAAAATTTAGGTCCACGTTTTCCTGTAGCGCACACATAACGATCCCCACCGATACTAGGTATTTTCATAATCCTAGTAACAGTTACCCACGTAATTGCTTTGGTATTTAAGAAGATTTCGTAAATGAGAAGTCTTGAGGTATAAAATTGTCTATGGAGGTTCCCGTTTTGGTATGTCCCCAATACAACGGCCTCACCCACTTTATGTTTTTTTTTAAAAGTTGACCAGCATTATCCATACGGTCTTACTGG